TCACAAGCCACAGCCCCGCAAGGAGAAGGGCACCCTTAGAAATGGAGGGTGGTGGGGAGGGAGATTCAGAGAGGGAGAGATTAGCCGAGTCCCCTGGGAGTCCTTAGGAGGTCCTTAATAGCCTGCGGAGTGGTGCATTCTATGCCCTCCCCCTCTCCCAAAAATCTCTGGAGAAACTAGAATTCTTAACAATCCCTTCTTCTTGGTGCATCTCACTGGCCCCTCCATCTGAAGCCCAGGGAGAGAATGTCTTTTCCTCCTCCCTTGGGGCACCTAAATGAGAAGGTGACTCAGGGAGCAGGGGGTAGGTGGGTGGGGTGACTCATCCAGCTGTCTGGAGGGGAAATGTGGTCTGGGGAGAGAAGAGATTCTCAACCCCCGGAGCCCATACCCTACTCCTCTGAGGCCCCCTGAAGTCTAAACCTGGACCACGAGGCCCCCAGGATGGGGAGGGGGATGCGGGCTGGCAAGCCCCTGCCCCACCTCACCTCCCACAGACTCGGGGCTGCTGGCTGAGGTCCAGGTGGACCTCACTGGCTTGAGGTCACTCAGGGTCAGGCCCTGTGGGCGTCTCTGCTTATGTGATCAACTGTGTCCCAATTCCTGCCTCCAGGATCTCTGCTGGAGGTCCTTGGCCAGTCACCTGCGGCAGCCAAACGGCGCTGGGAATCTTGCGGAAGGACCCCCTTCGAGGCTTGGCGTGCCGGCACACAGGAAATCAGGGCTGCTTCACAATCTCCCTGGGCAAGGGCTAGCGGGCTTGGGGGAACCAGCTCTGAGCACACAAACAGACCAGCGTGGCTTCCTGCCCAGGGTTCTGGTCTCGCCCGGAAGGTCCGGGAACCTCTCCAGGATTATCAAGGGTCTTAATTCTGCCGTTACTACAACGGCCACCATAACTAGGACAGTCACAGTCAGAGGTGACTTCAAATGAAGGAACCTGGCTGTCCTTGGGGCAACCTGAGAGATCACAGGTAAGCGAGGAGAGTCAAAGGAGCTTTCATTCCTGGTCCTCAGGGTGGGCGGAGGAGGAAGAGGAGAGAGCTGGGGAGGGCCGAGCGAGCAGAGGTCAGCATGCAGCAGCCGCATCCAAAGGAAGCAGAGGCCAGCATGCCTGCCACCGTCACCTCCCGTACCTGGAGGTCAAGGCTGCACAGGGGACAAAAAGCAAAGCGAGGAAGGAGAAGGTGACCCAGAGAGAGAAGCTGGGACACAGGGTGTGGTGGGTGTGAGTCCCTGGGAAGGTGTATCTGAGCTTCCTCCAGAGGTGCTCAGCGGGTCTGGGGCATCGGTCACACCCAAGAGGGGGCCTGATCTGACCTGAGGCCTGGCCCTCTCCACCACCCGGGCCTGGCCTGGCGCCCCCACGCCTTGCTTCTCCCTGATGGAGTGCTTTCTCCAGAGCCCTTGTTTGAAGCTCCAACTCAGCCAGCCCCACCCTAGCATGAAATCTGAGACTGGGGGTAGAGCCCTCAGCCTCTTGCTGTTCTGAAAATCAGTCCCATTTCCAACTAGGAGGGGAGGACATCAGAGTGGCTTCTACCCATGCTTTAGGGCCTTGCCCGAGCCCGACCTCCACCATGAAGACTCCGCAAACCATCCCAGCTTGCTGTGCTCGCCTTTCTCTGCCACCTCCAGGCCACAGAGGGGCAAGAGACTCCCTGAGCCTTCAGCGCCCTACCCTCTGATGTGGCGCTTGACACAGCTGTGTTTCTGCTGTTGGGTGTGTCTGTATGTCTCCGGTCCCTACTAGACCATAAGCTCCTCGGGGGCAGGGCCCTGGCTTACACGTCTCTGTAACCCCGGCAACATCCAGCCCGGGGCCTGGCACATCTTAGTCATTCAGTGGATCCCCTGAATGCGTAAGAGATACAAGGACAGGGCCAGGGAGTCACCCCCAAGCACATTCACCTCAAAAAAGTAAATAGATAAAGTGAGAGTCTCAGGCACAGAAAATAGGGGGTAGGCAGCCAACGTTTATTTAGTGCTGACTGTGTGTTAAGTGCCAGTAAGTGTTTAAAGTATGTTCTCGTATCTAATCCTCACCACCAACTCTATGGAGAGATGTATTATCAGTTCCATTTTAAAGGTGCGAAAGCTGAAGTTCAGACATGGTAATTACCATTCCCGAGGTGGTACAGCTAATGAGTTGTGGGGCCGGCGCTGAAGGCCAGGTCTGTCTGCCTCCAAAGCCCAAACTCTGTCCACTCGGCCTCACGCCCACACCAAGCACCCGGCGAGAAAGATGACAAAAAGTCCTGGTTGACGCTAGCCCGGCAGGCATGGAGGGGGAAGGGCCAAGGGATGTGGCTTGCTGTCTGTCCACTGGGATCCATCCATCCAGGAGGAGTGTGAGGGCATGGAAAGTCCCTGAATGGGGTCCCCAGGGCCAGGACCAGAATGACCTGCCCTCCAAACCCTGGTGGCCAACATACAGGCAGTCCGGTTCTAGGACCCATGCCACTGGCCCTGGCTCTGGCTATTTGGAGACAGGCTGAGGTCAGAAGCAGGAAGTCGAGGAAAAGTTCTGATATCTTGTCCCCTGAGTGTCCCAGGCAGCCTGCTCGGGGTCATCCGATCAGGCAAAAGGCTCAAGTGCCTGGCCATCTGGTCACTCCAAGGGCAGGACCCTTATGGGCCCAGCAGGAGTGAAGGGGTTACACAGGGTCTTCAGAGACAAAGGACACAAATACACACACACACACACACACACACGCACACACACACGCGCACACACACACACACGCGCGCGCACACACACACACACACTCTCCGGGGCCCTGACCTCAGCTAATTAGCTTCTGGTGTCTGTTGGGGGAGAGAGCTGATATACAACACCTGAGTTCTCTTTGTGTTTTCCCCTCTTCCCACCCCATCTTGGCCTTGGCAGGGGCTTCCTGGCACTCAGGAGCAAAGGTGGTTCCCCTCCTGGGCTGGCTTCTCTAACTTTGACAGCTGTCTCCTGGGTCCCAGAAAGCTGCTGCTGCTGCTGCTGGTTAGGACCACGGGATACCCAGGAGCACGGGCTCAGGGAATCCCCTGAAAAACTTTCCTCTTCCACTTGGGCTGAAATGGGGGCCCAGGAGACCTGCTCCTTGGAGATGTAGGCAGCCCAGCCCCAGGCCAGACAGATGTGAAGCCCCAGGGCAGCCGGGACAGACAGGCTGGAAAATACCAGTGTTCTGGAGCAGAGAGATGGGGTAGAAGGGAAAAGAACACACACACACACACACACACACACACAATTTGGCCAAAAAAGTTTCCCTGCACAAGGGAGAGCCCCTTTGCTGGCTGGTCTCTCTCTCGGGACCCAGGGAGATTTCCCCAGGAATCTTCTCCCAAGATAAGGCAGCGGCGGCAGCTTCCACCAACAGCAGCAAAACTTCAGTCTGAAAAGTCCCCCGAACTCCCTCCTCCCTCTCCCCCTCGTTCTTTTGTTCCCACTGCATTGCCAACCGGGCAGCTCCCGGCTTCCCACACTGGACTGTCCTCCCCCAACCCCAAACCCTGCGCGGCCCGCGCCTCCGCGCCGGCCCGGGACGCTCACCCGCCTTGCAGGGGTCTTTGTAGTTGAGCGGCTCCGGGTCGTCCTCGTCGCCCAGGTCGTAGGTGTAGTCGGCCAAGTCGAGCGGCCGGCCGGGGCGCGCGAGCAGCAGCAGGCAGAGCAGCAGCGGCAGCGGCGGGCGGGCCACGCCGGGCATGCTGGCGGGCGCGGCGGCGGCGGCGGGTCGCGCCCGGACGCGGGAGCTGGCGGCGGGGAAGCGGAGGCCCGGAGGCAGGGGAGGGCGCTGCCCTCGGCCCGCTGGCTGGCTCGCGCTCGTCCCGCGCTCCGGCCTCTTCCCCTTCCCTCGCTCGCCTCCCTCCTTCCTGTCTCCCGCCCCCCGCTCGGCGCTCGCGCTGCGCTGCGGCCGGCTCCGCTCCCTTCCCTTCTTTTTCTCTTTCTTTCTTTCTCGCCCTCCCTCCCTGCCTCCCTGCCTCCCTCCTTCTCCCCCCCCCTTTTTAGGGAAATGAGCTCGCTGGAGGGCGGGTTTTCGCCCGAGCTCAGCCCCCCTCGGGGCCGGGACTGTGCTGGGCCGCGCCGGGCCGCGCGCCAGCCGGGGCGGGGAAGGCCAGGAGCCGCGCGGGCCGGGGAGGGGACGCGGGGCGCGGGGCGCGGGCCGAGGAGCGGGCGCGGGCCCCCGGGGTGCCGGGTCCGCGGCGCTCCCGCCAGGGGCCCTCTAGCGGCGGCTTCCCCCGCGGGCGCCCGGCCGAGCCCCCTCCCGCGGCGGGACACGCTGTCAGGTCGCGCGCGCCGCCTCTGCCTCTCGGTCCCTCGGTGTCCCACTGCGGCTCCCCGCCTGCTGTCTCTCGGTCTCTCCCCTTCTCGACCCTCGCTGTCTCCCTCGCTGTCTCTCCCCCTCCTCCGGGACACCGCTGGAGGGCGCCGACAGCCCGCGGATGCGCCCCGCTGCCCCCTCTCCCACGCCGGGATGGACCGAATCCCCCAGTGCTCGGGGACAGCGGGAGAACGCCCGTGCCTACCCTTTCCGGGGCCCTACCCTTCCCCGCGCCGCCCCCGCCAGGAGCAGGACTGCACGGGTGTCGGAAAAATACAAGTACGACCCTTTGTTTTTCAATCAGGCTGCTTTATTTTGTGGCAGGAGTCCCCTGGCCCATAGGAGCCACCTCTGCCTGCTCCCATCCTCTCCCCAAGCTCGCGTTTCTCCAGGGCCAGTCCCCGTGGTGTGGGCAGGAGCAGCTTCCTGCCTGTCTGCAAAAGACCCTTTGCTGGGGGATCTTTCCTGTCCCCTTGGGGCTTCCAAGACTCTGTGAAGCACAGGAAGGTTGTTCGGCATGTGGGGGGGGGGGCGGTGTCTGCCAGCCTTCCCTCCCCTGAGCTCCCTAGATGACTCGCTTCAGTGGGTCCCCTAGCGCCCAGTCAGCAGACGTAGCAGGTGGCCCCAGCCCTCTTCCACTGTGCTTAGGTGCCCTGGTGGTCACACCTGCTCACCTGAGGAGTCCTAGGTGTAGTAGAGAGGCACCTCGCCACACAGGGTGCGCGCGGCAATGCCCAGGAAGGGCAGGTCTCCTCCAGGGGACGCGGCATCTGGGTCTGGCCCCTCCTCCTGGCCCAGCTTAGAGGGGGGCGCTGCAGGCTTGGCCTGCAAAGAGCGCCTCATTTGGAGTCAGGAACTGAGTTTCTGTCTCACCTGCAGCGCTTATTGTGGGACTTCAAGCACGTCAGGTGACCTCTCTGAGCCTGTTTCCCCACCAGCAAAGAGGGGGCTGTGCTGGAGTCAGAAGCCCCACAGAGGGGTGGGCTCAGCTGAGGCCAGCAGCTCACCAGTGGGCAGGTCTGGGAATGGGCCGGGATGGTGGGTGCAGGTGGGTACAGAGGGGGCACTCACCTGGCAGCCCCCAAGGAGCAGTGCTCTACAGGCGACAAATAACCATGAGCTCAGACGCTCCTCCCAGCAGCCCTGGGAGGGAGGCAGCCCACTCCTTTCACCCACACACCCACCTGGAAGCCCTGGAATTTTCTAGTGAGAGCCTCAAGACTGGGGATGCTCTCCGGAGCCATCTTCATGATGTAGCAGCAGGTTCCCGGGGCCGGCTTATAGGCGATCAGGAGCTGGGCACGGAACGCTAGAGTTCACCCAAAAGGCCCCTGCTTTGCCCACTCCCTAACCCGGGTCCTTAGCCAGCTCCCTCTAGGTTGGGCATGGGAGTCACACTAGAATCTGGGCTAGGGGAGGGGGACAGATGGAAGTGGCCCAGCTGGATGGCTCTAGCTGTCTTGTCATTGATCCCCCAGCCTCAGTGTTCAGGAGGTCTGGGCATACCCACCCGCTGGTAGTCGTACACTACAAGGCCTGTGGCGCCGATGGAGAAGGTGGCAGTGGTACCCACATGCTCACTCAGGGCCAGGCGTTGCTTGGCTTCTGGTGCCCCGATGCTCATCTCTAGGACCTGGGGAAGGGCATCGAGCTGCCTGGGCTTCCTCTTTCCCGCCTCGGCCTTCGGTACCCATGTCCACCCTCAGTCCCCTGCTCAAATGCGTCCCTTCTTTCCTGAGAGCTCAGGGAGGCTGAGTGGAACCCGGTGCTGGAGGGAACTGGCTATCACACTGTGGGCTAGGGCGGGGTGGAGAAAGCCAGCCCACGTTGCCACCTGTTTCTGCCTCTGTCCTCCCAGCTGTGCACTTGCCTCCTCCACTCTGCCCCCCTCGGACAGCTTCCTATCTGCCCAGCCCACCCAGGCTGGCTCACCATCTCGGTGTGTTTCTGACTCATGTGGAGGCCCATGAGCAGGGCCCCTACAATCACCACGACGACAAGGACCACCACCACGACCACGATGAGAAGGCGTTTGAGGTTCACAGGGCAGCAGGGGATGCCGAACCGACCCCGGGGGGCTGCAGAGTAGTCCTGACGTGGTGGGGCAGGCAGGGGACAGGCATGAGTCATGAGGATGTCCCCTCCTCTCCCTGCACAAGCTGGACCATGCCCCCACCCCCGCTGGGGCTGGACAGCCAATGCTATGGGTGTGCCCAGGAGGGCTTAGGAGATCAGAGAAGGCTCTTGGAGGAGGTGGCTTGGATTCCAACAAACCCATGGATGGTCAGAAGCAAGGTCTAGTTTGGAGGAACTCAAGAGAGTCTGTTTCACCTGTAGCATTTCCTGAGGTTCCCCCAGACCCTTGGCACCCCAGCCATGGCCAGCTCCTCTCTGCTCCCCAAATGACCCAGGCTCTCTCACACATCCACGCCTTTACAGAAGCTACCGCTTCCTCCTGGACTGCCTTCCCCCTTCTCCACCTGCTGAGCTCCTGCTTATCCTTCTGGCTCCAGCTCCCATGTCATTTTCTCTGTGAAGCTCCCTGTGACCTTCCATATGTTTAGTGGCTCCTTACTCAGGGCTCCCTACAGCCTGAGACCCCCTGGTGGCTCTAAGCCCCTTATGTGTAGCTCCCCAAGGGACTGTGTCTTAGTGGTCTTGGTGTCCCCATCCTAACTAGGCACAGCCCTGGGTTAGTTGAGTGAATGAATCTGGGTGAGGAAATAGGCCCCGGGAGGATGGAGAAGGCAGAGCCCACCACACGCACGTACACACACGTGCATATGCACACACACTCACACACACGCGCACACATATCCACACTCACCGGCGGGCTCTCCATCAAGACCTCTTTGCTGCCCATGTCCATCCTGCTGCAGGCGCTCTCCTCTCCTCTTCTCCCAGGTGTGACCAGGGTCTTATATGTGTCTGTAGGGAGAGGGAACAAAGGTGGAGGACCGGGGCCCCTGTTTGCCAGCCAAGCCCTTGGCTTTGAAGCCTGTTTGTTCCTGGCCCTCCAGAGCCAAGGCCCTGATAAGCCAGCTGCAAGAACCCCCGAGGGCCCTTGGCCGCAGCACATGAGTTCTCTTGGCCCCAGCAAGAACGTACCTGGGTGAGCTGAGCAAACTTGCCCTTGGGCCATCTGCACCTCTCACCGTGGGTGTCTTCCTGGCGCGTCTACCTTCCTTGCTGGCACCTGCCCCTGCGGCCCTGTGGCTTTCCTTGTCCTTCTGCCAGGCTGAACCTCTCAGGCAGCCAAGGCTCTGGCCATGACAGTTCCTAGCAGAATTGCCCCAAAGCTTAGGAAGAGCTCCAGGAGGGCGGCTGAGGAGGCAGAGCCTGTGGGCCCAGAGCAGGCTCTGCTGAGGGCAGGGGGTGCTTTGACCTCAGTTTGGGGGGCTCGTAAGTGTGCATTTCGCTGGGAGGGCCGGATTCCCACGTGGAGTGCGCTCTACCTCGCCCCGCCTCCTCCCACACATCTGCTACCAGCCTCAGGCTTGCCCCTGGTCAGTCTTTCCCTAATTCTGGGAACTCTGTCCGTGCTGGTGGTAAACTCTTACTCATGTGGGGTGTTTCGTGCTTTGCCCGGGGCTTGTCTGCAAGCTGCGGGCTCCCGATGGCGGAGTCCACGCCTGATGCTGCTTTCTTGTTCCCGGACGGCCTGGCACAGGCCTGGGTGTGGTCCCTGGCGGGCTCCCAACCTTCCCGCCCTTGAATCAGCCCACTGGCCGAGAGGTCCAGCACCAGCCCCCTGTGCTCCCCTTTTCATATCTTCTCATCCTATATCTGCCTGAGAATGCGACTCGCCCAAACGCCATCCGCTTTTGGGGACTTTCTTGTTCCCCTCTTTCCTACCGCTTTCTCCAAAGCCATTTCAGTTGGGTATTGCATTGTATGAATACTTGTCAGGCAAGTGGTCTCTAACGTCCCTTCACCTCTAAACTCTCGTGACTGTGTCATTCAGAGCCCACTCTGGGCCTGGCTCCCTGCCATGCCACCCAATTCTTGTCCCTGGCCCTGAGCTCACTCCCACCTGGACCCTGTCCTTTGATCACGAGCTGACCCCCCACTCTCCAGCCCCGGTATGCTCTTCTGTCCCCACAAGGACCCCTCTCCAGCCAGAGGGCCTTGGTCTCAAGGTTGCACAACAGTATGGCATCTGAACTGAGAGCCCCTGGGAAGGGCGGGGGAGGAGAGAGGGAAGGAAGTGTTTGCTCCCACCACCCTCCTTGTGGTGGGGGGGCAGCTGCCCCTTTAAATATTTGCCTAAGCCTCCAGCAGTGAGAGTGTCCCAGGACAGTGAAAGAAGGGGGGGAGGGGTGCAGGGAGAAGTGTCCTCTCAGCTCAGCCTCAGCTGTGTGCAGGTGCCAGATGTAGGAGACAGCCGCCCGCAGTGCCCCCCCAACCAGGGTCCCCACTCCCGCCCCCGTCGTCCTGGCAACATTGGGATTGATTGGCTGACTCACGCGTACTGGGCCTGAGCCAGATGGGCCGCCAGCCAGCAGGAGAGCCAAGAACTGCAGGCATCTCGGGGTCCCTGCGGGCATCTCGGGGGGCCGCGTTGCCCAGCTGTGGGGCTTGTTCTGAGCAGGCGCTGTGGGTAGGGCTTCCCATCATCGCTGGGTGCCGGGAAAGGGGTCTGTCTCTTTCCTCAAGAGAAGCCTCTGCTCTCCCTGGTCCTCAGTCTCGCTGCCTGCTGCCCTCAGGACAGCTCACAGGCTTCCTGGCTTCTTAAACCCATTTTTGCCTGCTTGGGGGCTGAGGAAGGGCGACTTCGAGTTCCGTGAGTGAAGTTCAGATGCTCGCACCGACCTGATGGAGGTCGTGGGCTCCGTGGAGAAGGAGGGAGGGAGGGCCTTTTGGCTGGCATGCCCAGCCCTCTGCTGCCCTTACTTAAGCCATTTCTCCCTCCCGGGAAGCCCACCCCACCCTCTCTCTACCTCTCTGAATGCCACCCACCCCAACAGGCCGAGAGCCAATGGCACCTGTTCTGTGACCTCACCCCAGCCCACGGTGCCCTTCTGCCTCTGAAATCCTCCTCCTCTCTGCGGCACCTTCGCCTGCCATGTAGCACACACGGGTGTTCTTGTCAACCGTGACGTGGGTGCTTTCTGTTGTCCTATCTTCCCAGCCAGACTGGGGGCCCTGGGAAGGAAAGGAACGTGCTTTCTCCAGGTTTCTTTGAACCTGCCACCAGGCAAGGAGCATGCTCACAGCTGATGTTTAATTATATTCAATGATAAGACTCCGTCACCAGCACGAGGCGGGTCTTGTCGACCGGTGGGTAGTTCATTGCTTCAGTACATGGAGGTCTCAGTGCTTCTCCTGGCCAGCTCTGGGGCCCAGAGTGAGTCATTCTGCTTTTTTAGGCTTTAGTATGTTCATCTGGGACATGGGCCTGGTACTGCCTGTCCACCTCACCATGCTGTTGTGAGGATCCAAGGACATCAGAGGTGTTAAATCCAATTGTCATCATTATCATCACCTACTTCATCCCCTGGGACACCTCTCGCTAGCTAAGAATATGATCCAGACTCCCCCCTTTCTGTCCGTCTTGGGGTTACCCCCTCTGAGAGCCATAGGGGATGGAGAGCTCCAGGCTGGCCACCCCTTCTCTGTGAGCCTCCCCTTTCCCCCCCAGCCCCTCAGCTGCAGGGAAGGGGACAAGATTCACTCTGCCCTTTGTGTGCTGGGCAGAGCTGTGCCAGGGACGGGTGGGGACGGTTGCCCAGCTGCCCCAGCCACTCTCTCCACCCCCACTCTCCACCCCCACTGCTTCCCTCCCTGCATGCTGGCATGAGGAGGGCAGCAGGGCAGCTGGACAGGCAGTAGCCAGTGGACATCAAAGGGCAGGGGCATCCCTGGCTGGGAGAACACAGACTTAAGCTCAGACCAGAGAATCCCCTGCTGGCAGAGGCTGGGGACAGCTGGGGAAGCATCTTAAATGCAGCAGTCTCGGTTCCCTGGACTGACGTGCAAAGGGCACAAGATGGGGAACCCGGGCACCTGACTGCCAGGCTCCCCGTGCCCTGTGCCCATGAGCTCTTAGGACAGTCACCCCGTGCCCCAGGGAATGAACGAGGTAGAGAGCAGCAGTTCTCAAACTTTGTGGTTTCAGGGCCCCTTGACACTCTTAAAAAGTACTGAGGACCCCAAAGAGCTTATGTTTATGTGGGTTCTACCCATTGATATTTACTGAGAAATTTTTCCATTTTCATTAATTTATAATAGCAATAATAAACTCATTATATGTTATGACATAAATCACATACATTTCTAAATGAAAATAACTATTTGACAAAGCCAAAAAGAAAATCAGAGAGAAGAGTGTCCTTGCTTTACATTTTTGCAAATCTCTTTCATTTGGGGCTTAAGAGAAGACACATCCTGTAGCCTCTGGAAAATTCCAGGGTACTTTTGTGAGCTCATGGAAATAAAAGGGGTGAATAATGGCTTAACACTATTAAGAAAATTGTTTTGACCTCAAAGACTCCCTGAAGGACCCTCAAGGACCCTGGTTCCCAGGGCCACACTTGGAAGACCCCTGGTGTAGAAGGACGACTGTGAACTTGGAAGTTGCGCAGAGTGGGTTTAAATCTCTGCTCTGTCACTTTTTTCTTCTGGTACTACAGGCCTTACTGTTCTCGTCTGTGAAAGGGGTTTAATGTCGCCTACCACCGAGGTGAAGATTAACTGCAGAAAGTACCCAACACACAGTGGATGTGATGGCAAATTTAGCTGTTCTCTTTTCGGCGGCCTCAGTTTCCTCGTTTGTTATAAAGGGCTGCACTGGAAAGGGTCCAAGGCGCTTCCCAGCTCCAACAGGCTGTGGTTGTATAGCGAGAAATGTTCCAGAATTCCACACGTCCCACTCCCGCTCCAGTGGCTACATTTCCCTTTTCAGCTCCTGTTGACACAAAGGCACATTCTGTTCAGCTGCCCGTGGAAACACATGTGAATTCAGATATAAGCACACGCGAGACTCCTCCGAAGACACCCCTGTGCTTCTAATCTTGCACGCCAACCTAGATATGCATATGTCACTCACGACTGGCACATGGACTCGGCTCACAGGACGTGCGGCCCCATGCAAAGACATACAGGTCCACAGAGGCACATGGCTCCATAATGCCCAACGCCTCCACGGGGCAGTATGTGCCTGTGCCTGCAGAGGCAGGTGTGCACCCTGCGGAGACAGGTGTGCACACGGCGTGCCCAACACCCGGATGCACATGTACACGCTCACACACACGCACTCACTCACGCACAGGCACACAGGATGGCCCCCGAGACCGCCCGATAGGGCATAGGGCGGCCACTCCTCCCCTTGGCTACTCCCAGGCCGGGGCCTCCCCCCCGCGCCCCCGCGCGCGCCCCCGCCACCCGCGCCGCAGTCCGCGTCCACCCAGCCCGGCCAGCCCGGGCTGCGGCTGCGGCTCCGGCTCCGGCTCCGGCTCCGCGCACCTCGCCCGAGCCGGCTCGCGGGAGCGAGCAAGGGAGGGGACCGCAGCCCCAGCCGGTGCTCGAGGGCAGGAGGAGTCTGCTCTGCGCAGCGGGCAGGCGGCGGGCCCCTGGCTGCGGCAGCAGCTGCCGGTGGCCCTCAGCCACAGGAGCGGTGGGGCCAGGGCCCGGGCCGCCAGCGAGGGAGAGCTCGCAGGAGGCATGGCGGGGGCGCGGGCCAGGCGGGGCCCCGGGCTGCTGACGCTGTCTGCCATCGGCTTCTGCCTGATGCTGCAAGTCAGCGCCAAGAGGCCCCCCAAGACGCCCCCCTGCCCGCCCAGCTGCTCCTGCACCAGGGACACCGCCTTCTGCGTGGACTCCAAGGCGGTGCCCAGGAACCTGCCTTCGGAGGTCATCTCCCTGTGAGTGTCCAGCCCTGGGCTTGGGGGGCGGGAAGGGAGAGGAGGGGGCAAGAGCATGAGCGGATGGAGAACCCCTGCTCCCCCTCTCCAGAGTGTGGGGACCAGGAGGGCTCGCGGAGGTCCTTGGGGCTGGGGATTGCACGCACCCGCCGGGCAGGGAGTCCCGCAGTCCTGCAGGCTCAGCGGCCATGGCTGGGGAAAGCAGGAGTTTACAGCCAAGAATGAATCATCACCACCATCAGCATCCATGAGACCTACTGTGTGCCGGGCTCCAGACTGGGGGTGGGGTGGGGTTGTTTACATGAGCATGTGGGCCCCTGCCTGTGATGTCACACCAAGGGCAGAAGGGCTCCTTGTGGTGGAGGAGGGTGGCAGCAAGCGGGTGGGAAGTGAGCTATGCCCTCACAGCACCGTGGCACGGGGCACACGCCTGCCGCTGACCAGCCACTCGGCACCCAGCCTGGCCCGCCTGTCACTTGCAGCAACTGGCCTCAGGGGCCGGCCTTGCCTGCAGGACCACAGAGAGGCTGTGAGGTCCTTAGGAGCAGGATGCTAGCTCCCCACTGCCATCCCACGCCCTGTCCCTCAGCAGCACCCAGCACACTGTGGGTGTCTGCATGATGATGTCGCGAGTGATGGGTGATGGAGCCTTCTCTTGACTGTGAGGGGAGCAGAGCCTGGGGTCACCGGAGCTCCAGGAGGCAGTGAAGTTGGGAGGAGACGGGAGAGACACACAGGTGGGGGCAAGGCTGCGGAAATGGGGCATTTCCAGGGCGAGCGAGTACAGAAGCCACTGCCTTGTGCACCTCTCACTGTCCCAGCGCAGTCCTTGCAGACCCACCACGGTACTGACTTGGGTGTCCCCGCAGGACGCTGGTGAATGCCGCCTTCTCAGAGATCCAGGAAGGAGCGTTCTCCCACCTGCCGCTGCTACAGTTCCTGTATGGATGGCTCTTTTGGAAGGGCGGGGTGGGGTGGTGTGGGGTGGGGGGACGGTCGCAGGGGACGGATCCTGGGCTGGGGAGGACGAGTGGGTGGAAGCAGCCTCTGGAGATGAAGATGCAGGTGTCCCTTACTTTTGCTCCAATAGGATGTGCCACAAAAGGTGGAGCAGCCTGGAGTCGGGAGGAGCGGGGGGCAGCGGTGGCGAGGAGAGCTAGGGTCGCATGCAGAAGCCAAGGAGGGGGTCTTTGGGACATGGACTTGGCTCCTCTGGAGACCCAAGGGAACTGCGTGCAACAGCCAGGGCCAGTGCCAGAGGGTGCTCAGGGGGGTCATCTTAGAGACAGGTGACCCCAGAGATCAGGTGTGAAGGAAGCGCTGGGGGCTGAAAGGTAGGGATGCAGGAGGGTCTGGAATTCTACAAGGTGCTGTTGGTGAAGGACGGGTATCCATGAGGGGCTGGAATGGGCCAGGGTGAGGGCGGGCACAGGGAGAGAAAATGCCATGGGGGAGGGCCAGGAGCCAGCTTGATAGGAGAACTCTGCCTTGGACCATTTTAGGAGGAGGACTCTGGGAGTTGCTGGGGCTAGAATAGGCTTCTGCCTGGTCTTGCTACCCAGGTGGCTCAGGGGCTCTTCACTGGGGTCCCTAGGGTGGCCACAGTGCGGCCAGATTTCTGGGAAGCCCAAGGCTGAGACAGTGGGCTGGGGGCTGGGGCAGCAGGCACACCCTCGGGAGCTCTAATTCCGCCTCTGTCTCCCCAGGTTACTCAACTCCAACAAGTTTACGCTGATTGGAGACAACGCCTTCACAGGACTGTCGCACCTGCAGTACCTGTGTGTGGGAGGGAAAAGGCAGTGGGAAAACAGGAGGGAGGAGGGAGCCCAGGCCTGGGGTGGAGGGGCTGAGGGGGGAGTGGAATGAGAAGGCTAGGGGAGGGGAGGATGGGAGGTGAGAGCCCCAAAGTCCTCGGACTGTAGGACCCGAGCAGAAGGTCGCTTCTCCCGTTCTGCCTACACCATCCTGCCCAGCGCCCTGTCACTATGGGCTTGATGACTCCAGACTCCGTGTGGAAGCCTGTCTCAGAGACATGGGCTGCAGTCTAGGCTGGGGTGTGGGGAAATTGCTGCCTGGGGTCCTGGGTGACAGCTGAGGCAAGTTCTGTTTCCCCCAGCTTCATCGAGAACAACGACATCTGGGCACTATCCAAGTACACCTTCCGAGGGCTCAAGTCCCTGACACACCTGTGAGTACATCCCACCCCATACACACACCGGACCAAAGCCCCACATCTCCTGTGGCCTTTGGCCTTCCGGTGACCCAGGGATCTCTCTTGCAGTTCACTGGCCAACAACAACTTGCAGACACTGCCCAGAGACATCTTTCGGTCCCTGGACATCCTGAATGACTTGTAAGGCCCGAGTCCTTCCTCTTCCACCGGTGCCATAGAGGGAGGGGGTGGTGTGGGAGTCAAAATTGGGATGATCGGAAGCTCTTGAGAGACTGGGAGTTGGTGGCCTGGGTTTAGGGGGCCTCTGAGAAGGCAAGGTTGAGACGGTGGCCTTCCAAATCAGGGTTCCTCTTAAAATGCACCTGAGACACCATGTGTGTGTGTCGTAAAAACATGTGCTTTGTAAATGTATGTTTGATTTGAATCGACATTAAAATCCTATAGCATAGCTGCCATCATTTATTATTTATTATTTACACAAGAAAATAAAAGCCTTGGATTATGGGAGGCTTGGAGGAACAGGGAGGCAACATACAGCTGTGCAGGTTGTACACTGCACAAGGCACCTGGCCAAAGAGGTGAGCAGGGGCTGAAACTGAGCCCACACTGCTGGCCAAGCCTGTGTCTGTGGGGCTCTGTCCACCGGGAGGGGAATTTTTCTCTAATTGGAACAAAGATTCGTGTGAACGACTCACAGCAGCCTTGATGGGATCTACTTCTGAAACCCTAGAGGGCCTGGGTGGGCAGAGCCCTGAGAGCCTGTCCTGCTCTGTGTCCCCCTCCACTGCCCTCATGACCCAGGGACCTGCGGGGCAACTCGCTCAACTGCGACTGCAAGGTGAAGTGGCTGGTGGAGTGGCTGGCACACACCAACACCACGGTGGCGCCCATCTACTGCGCCAGCCCACCCCGCTTCCAGGAGCACAAGGTGCAGGACCTGCCCCTGCGGGAGTTCGACTGCATCACCACGGGTAGGAGGTGCCCCTGCCCTGGGCATCAGGCCGGGCCTCCCCCAGCGCAGCTTTACAGACACTGCCTGAACCCCCGCCCTGCCCTGCAACACCCAGCCTCAGAGTCGAGCATGCACCACCAACAGGCTCTTCCCTTCTCCCTGTGGACTCGAGTAACGCCCGCCCCGCACCTGTCCTCCCTGCAGATTTCGTGCTGTACCAGACCCTGCCGTTCCCAGCAGTGTCGGCGGAGCCCTTCCTGTACTCCAGCGACCTCTATCTGGCTCTGGCCCAGCCAGGGGTCAGTGCCTGCACCGTCCTCAAGTGGGACTATGTGGAACGGCAGCTGCGAGACTATGACAGAATCCCAGGTACCTGTGCCCCACCTGGCGGTGCTGGCCTTGGCGGTGGGGAGTCGGGGTCTGGGTTCCATCATTCAACCCCATCGAGTCCCTGTAAGTAGAGGGATGGAGGAGACACAGTCTCTGCCCACAAGAACCTTCCAGTCTTTGAGGGAGGCCAACTGCATCGACAGATAACACCCACACAATAGGTAGGTGCTAGGAGGCAGATGTGAACACTGTGCTCTAGCAGCACGAAGGACGAGCCAACCCCAGCGATCAGAAAGCTTCCTGGTGGAGGGGGCTGCCTACGCTGCGTCTTGAAGGATGAAGGGGAGGGAGGACTCGGAGGTGATGCCCAGGGTCCTGGCTTAAGCAACTGGGTGGGGCCAGGGACATAGAGGAGGAGATAGGAGTGGCTGTGACCTCAATTTTGTATCTACTGAGTTTGAGCTGAATCTTGAAGGCTGAGGGAGACTTACCTAGGAATGAAAATAAAGAGTATTTTGGCACAGGAGATGGGATGAGCGAAGTCAAGAAGAAGCTGTGTGGCAGCTTAGCGTGTGTGTGAGTGTGTGTGTGTGTGTGTGTGTGTGTGTGTGTAAATCACAAGCAGCTTGTATGACTACCGCATAAGAGTCAAGGTAGGGAGTGGCAGGTAGACTGAGATGGGTGAAGACCAGGTCATTGACAAGGTTTGAGAGGAGCGTGTGAACTAATCTAGCCTGCATTTTAGAAAGCTTCCTGTGTAGCAAAAGGCTAGCATGGGGCAAGACTCGAGGGCAGACCAGCAGGGGCATTTGTGCCTGTCTGCTGGAGGGACGCTGGGGCGGGTAGCAGGGGCGGCGAGAGGGGAGGTTGGAGAAAGATTTAGAAAGGAGGATTGAACTGACATAAGATGAAACAGAAAACTTACATTGCCCTATATCCATTAAAGAACTTGAAGTCGCCAGCCTCAGCAAGAGTGAGACCCTATCTCTACTAAAAACAGAAAAATTAGCCAGGCGTGGTAGCGCACCCTTGTAGTCCCAGCTACTCGGGAGGCTGAGGCGGGAGGATCACTTGAGCCCAGGAGTTTGAGGTTGCAGTGAGCTAGGCTGACGCCACTGCACTCCAGCCTGGGTGACAGAGCGGAGTAAGATCCTATTTCTAAAAGAGAATAACTCTTGAACTAGGCAAACATCAAGGTGTCGTTTTGGTCTACCTGGGATCTGCTCAAACTCTTTCTCCCTCCCCTGCCTGGCCACTTGCCAGTGGGGTAGCTTTGAGCAAGTCACTTACTCTCTCTGAGCCTGTTTCTTTCTGTGTGAAATGGAAAAGTAATGGGGTCCTTTTCAGCAGGATTAAGTAGCACAGTGACTGCACATAACAAAAATTCGATGGTCAAACATCAGTCAATACCTAGGGACACCTACTTTGTGCTTAGAGTCAGCCTATCTTTGAACCCTTGGGGGGTTCAAGGGTGGAGTAAGGGTGATACTAACATTGACTATTAGCTGTGAAATAATTAGGAAGGGCTGAGTGCTTAGTGGGCGAACGTTAGTGGGCGTGGAATATTACAGGAGAGAGCCTTGGTCCTGGCCCAAGTGTGGAGGGGACCCATCGCCTCCTCCGAACGGGTGGGCTGGGCTGGGAGCTGTGGGGCCCGCCTGACCCCGCCTGACGCCGCCTGCTCTGTCCCGGCGCAGCCCCCTCGGCGGTGCACTGCAAGCCCATGGTGGTGGACAGTCAGCTGTATGTGGTCGTGGCCCAGCTGTTTGGTGGCTCTTACATTTACCACTGGGATCCCAACACTACGCGCTTCACCAAGCTGCAGGACATCGACCCGCAGTGTGTGCGCAAGCCCAACGACCTAGAGGCCTTCCGCATTGACGGCGACTGGTACTTTGCCATGGCTGACAGCTCCAAGGCGGGTGCCACCAGCCTCTACCGCTGGCACCAGAATGGCTTCTACTCCCACCAGGCCCTGCACGCCTGGCACCGTGACACTGACCTTGAGTTCGTGGACGGCGAGGGCAAACCACGGCTGATTGTGTCTAGCAGCTCCCAGGCGCCCGTCATCTACCAGTGGAGTCGCACCCAGAAGCAGTTTGTGGCCCAGGGAGAGGTGACCCAGGTGCCTGACGCCCAGGCTGTGAAACACTTCCGTGCCGGCCGGGACAGCTACCTGTGCCTCAGCCGCTACATCGGTGACTCCAAGATCCTGCGCTGGGAGGGCACCCGCTTCTCCGAGGTGCAGGCCCTGCCCTCCCGGGGCTCGCTGGCCCTGCAGCCCTTCCTCGTGGGTGGCCGCCGCTACCTGGCGCTGGGCAGCGACTTCTCCTTCACCCAGATCTACCAGTGGGACGAGGGGAGACAGAAGTTTGTGCGGTTCCAGGAGCTGGCCGTGCAGGCCCCTCGGGCCTTCTGCTATGTGCCCGCTGGGGACGCCCAGCTGCTCCTGGCCCCCAGCTTCAAGGGACAGACGCTGGTGTACCGACACGTGGTGGTGGACCTCAGTGCCTAGGGGCGTGCCGAGGCCTCTGGGCTCCTGGGGGGGAGGCTCTGAAGGTTGGGTGGGGGCCTCCATGAGCAGCAGATGTGCCCGTGTGAAGACACGTGGCCAGCCTACACCCGTGCCCTCGCATACGCACATCCCGTGGGCACAACGCACCCCATGCACCGGCCCGGAGAGACATTTATCATCTCTGCAGTCAGCATGAGCACCTGTATACGCACCAGGCACACCCAGGACCCCTGTCGCCCAGTGTCCCTCACCCCACCTGCACCCCCCCTCGCTCTGCTTCCCTGCCTCGTGCATATCGGTGGTGCCACTGGGGTGCTGGGGAGGGGACCCGCCTGTCCTCAGGCCTTCTGACTCTCTGGTCTCTCTTGTCGGTGCTCCGGGTGTTTGCTTACCTGCCCGTGTTCCTCACTGCGGTCCGTGGCTGCTCACCCCTGCCTGCCCCGTCTGCAGTTCCATGCCTGTCTACACTCCTGTTGCCGTACACTGTACGAACAGGTCAAGGCGCATGTGCACACATGCAGATTTGGCGCAGTCTGGAGGGGCCCCCTCTGTTACCTTGCCTCTGTGCTTGGAGGGGCCGCAGTACCCGGCCCTCCTTTGCCTGCCCCCGTGTGCCCACTCCATAGCTGATAAGGACGGGGATGGTGGTGCCAGCCTCAGAGTGCCAGCTTGGCCTCCTGGGAGCAAAGCCCCTCTGCCCAAAGCAATAATAACAACAGCCCCAGCCAAGCCTGGGTGCTCTCCCGTGCTGTCCGTCTCTGTTGTCACAGCAGTTTCCTTTGTCACCCTGAATCCCAGCTTATCTGTGGACGGGAGCACCCCCACCCCCACCCCACTGAAAGCCTTTCTGCTTTTCTTTCCATAGCTGTTGCATCCTCAGGCTGGGACCATCCCCTGGTTCCGACATCTTTTGGGATGTGGCTCCTTGGGTGGGTACAAGAGTTGGCCAAGTTCAAGTGCTGGGAAGCTGCAAGCACCCGAGCCACCTGGGAGAGTTGCCAGGAGTGGACTTGGCTTGAGGGCATGTGGGGGCCCTGGCACCCCGGGAGCACTACCTTTCAGAGGACAGGATAAGGGGCCTGTGGGCGGCACCCCTGGAGCCGAGCATCTGCTGCCCCCTGCTGTATGCTGGGCATGGACGGCTCCGAGACGCCAGCCTGGTGCAGAGGGAGCGGGCAGGGGTGGCCTTGCCCTGTGCCCAGATTGTGTGCCGCTCCTTGTGGCAGGGTGCCCAGGGCACTGGGGGCAATGCTATGATTCACTTGCTTCAAATAAAAAGTTCCCACCCCACTGCGGGCTCTCCGGTGTCATGAGGGTGTTTTGCTGAGAACAGAGGGGGCCCAGACCCTCCTCCTCCTCAGAGGAGTGGGCGTCCCCAAGGCCAGCTAGGGCTGGGCTCAGGAGTTCACGGTGATGACACTCAGGTGCTAGACCAGTGTGACAAGTCTCCACCACCTGGAGCTGACTCACAGCCCAGGTGTTCCTTCCTGGAGATTACTGTCTTGGGGCCCACTAAGACTTGAGTCTGTCCCTCTGTTGGGTCAACTCCAACCAGCATGGCTGAAGACAAGCTCCACAGTCCCTCTCCTCTTCCCACCAGCCCCTGCTCCTCGGCTGGGCAAACCTCTGTCAACGCCGCCACCCTCCACCCTGGGGGAGGCGCCTGGGAGTCCTGGGTAACACCTTGGTCCCTCTTCTCCCCCTATTCTATCAGCCACCAAGTCCTCTCTGTTCTTTGTCCCAAAGCTTTTCTCGATGGGCACTTTTTGGTTTTGCCCTTTCCCTGCGACAACCTTTGTCCAAACCCTCCCCCATCGCTTCTTATCCTGGGTCCCTCACGCCCTTCCCTGCCCGCTGCTTCTCACACCCTTCTAGTCTAACCCTCCTAAAACATATTTCATCACGCCACCCCTGCTCCGGAACCCGCCTTGGCTCCCTGCTCTTCCGGCAACAAGTCCACAGCTCTCTGCCTGACGTTAAGGTCCTCTGGGACCTGGTCCCACCCTACACACCCAAGGCCCTGTGGGCAGGCGCGTCCCTCACCATCTCTGAGAATGAAGTCGAGAGAGCCCGTGACAATGGAGGGAGCAGGCAGCGGCCAGGCGTAGGACCCAGGCCAGGGTCAGTAGGAGTGACAGGGTCTTGGGGAGAGCACACAAGCAATGAATGGCAAAATGGGGTGTTGTTGAACTTGGGAACTCCTCTTCTTGTCAGCCCCTCTCCCCCGTGGACTTGAGTAAGTGGAATCTTTTTGCAGCCTTGTGGGGGTCAGTGACAGTGTAAGGGACAGGAGATGGAAATAGCATGCTGGCTGTGTGACCATGGACAGGTCATGTCCCTTCTCTGGGGACATTTGCTCTCTAGGGCCACTTTCAGCTCTCACGTCACAAACACCCTTCATTTCTCTTTCAGTGACAGACCTGTGAGCAGCTGGGCACCAGGGACTGGGACATGGCCTCACAGCCAGCCAGGGGAACAGATGACTGGGGACAGTGTTGTGTGAGTTCTGGAGTCTAGATAACATGGGTGTGAATTTGAGCTCAGTCCCTCCACTTGGTGTGAGATTTCAAGCAAGTCAACTGATTTCTCTGAGCCTCAATTTCTCCGGTAAAGCAGTAACAAAACCGACTTTTTGGAATCCTGATTCTGCCGCTTACTGGCCGGGTGAAACAAGCTAGTAACACTCAGCCCAGTTACTTAGCCTATTTATGTCTCAGTTTCTTCATCTATGAAATGGGTATAACCAAGATACCTACCTGGAAGAGTTATTTATCATGAGATTTAAATGCATTAAATATATATACATCAATACATGTAAGGGCCTTAGAATAGTGTATCTGGCATATAATTATTGTATTGGTCTGCAGGAATATGAGAAACAGAGGTGGCTCAGAGAAGGGTGTTTTGTGTGGGAGAAGGTTGATCTTTGGGGAGAACTGCTGTCTGTGGGTGAGGGTTCCTTACCCACCTCAGTCTCAGAGTCTCTCTGCCCAATTTCTTACCTGCAGCCTTGGGTACCCAGCCGACCCACCCCGACCACTCCTCGCGATGGGTGACTCATCTGAGTTTCCACTTCCTCAAGCCACGTTCAAGTGCTCTTGGCCTAGCAGGCACCCCCATCATCCTGGAGAGGCCTGTCCTGCTTTTGCAAATGGGACATGGGCCCGGTCCTCTGCCTGAGAGAGGTTGCCAGGGAAAGTGGGTTGAGCCTTCCAGACACATTGGCACGCTGTTGCCCAGCAGGAAGATAAATATCACTTTGACAGCTGCTTCCCCCAGGGGGGAGCTCCTCCGAGCGGTGGGAGATGTTTTGCTCCCTTGGCCCCTGAATGCCCAGCTTTCTGCTGTGTGCCTGCCTGGTCACCTGCCCTGGAGCTTGTCCATGTGTCCAGAGAGCTGCTTAGCAACCCAGTGTAACTGGGTGACTGTGTCAACAGCTCAGGACCAAAGGCTGCAAGAGGCAAGGTCCACTCACTCTGCCAAAGCCAGGGAGGGTGACACTCTTCAGCCGCCAGGCTCACCCGCCTCCACGCTGAGCCTGCAGTAAGCGACATCCTGTGCCTTAGATTTCCCAAGCACAGGCATTGGGACCAGGAGTCTCCATGTGAGAGACCGTCCCAGCTGGGTGGGCTTAGGGTGGGCACAGAATCCTTCCCAGGGAACGGGAGTAGAGAGAGGCCTGTGATGTTGGGGTCAGGTGCGTGGCTCCAGAAGGCAGCCGGTGGGGAGGGGCAGTTCTGCAGCGGGCACCAAAGGAGCTGAGGCTCACATGTGCATGACGTCCCCTTCCTCTTCTGCAACTCCCCACCCTTCCCTGAGCTGGTCCCCTATTCAGTCGCACCATTCCTCTTCCTAGGAGACGCAGGACGCTTTTCACCTAGAGAACAACGTCTGTGCCTACAGATGGATGGTGGCTGGGACCTTCCTAGGGGATCCTCAGCCCCTGGCGTTTCTGGTTCCCACGGTGTGTGTTGGGGGGCTGGGTGGATACGTGGGGGTGGTTAGGAAGGGAGAGGAGAGCTGTGGGGCCTCGGGGCAGCTTCTCCTGTGGGCAGGTTTCACTGTGAGCTCTCACACCCCGTAATACCAATAAAGCTGATGATAATAATTAAGACCGCATAATCACCGCGTGTGTTTATTTGTTTCCCAGAAGCCTCCTTCCCCTGGCCCATCATTACCTATTCCATGCTTTCGATGGGTGGTGGGTGTTTTAACTGTGGCTCTAATAAAAAGTAGTAACTGCCTGTGTTTCTGCCCCCACACCCCTGGGGCAGCTCTGCTCACACCCTCTCTCCAGTGCAGGGTCGGGGGGGACACTGTTCTTCCCATTTGCAGAGGGAGCAACTGAGGCAGTAAGCTGAAGATGTCCCAAAGAATGAAACCCCACATGGCAAGTTGCAGCAGCAGCAAAGTTTGCCTTCTATTTCAGTTCTCCAGTTATCTGCCTTCCTCCAGTTATCTGCCTTCCCCTCTAGAGGAACTTCTTCAGTTCCATGTCCCCCGCCAGGGCCACTCTCGGCTGGCCGCTGCTGACCACTCAGAAGACTGATCGAGCCAAGCATTCAGCCATGGCCAGCGGTAATTACCACTGGGTGACATGGGCAGGTTACTCTTCACCACTGAGCATGGTATTTCCTGATGGTAAAAAGGATCTTTGCAAAGATTAGGACCCCGTGCACAAAATGCATTACAAATGGCAATCGATACTACTAACGACTTATCCCAGGGATATGTGTGCTTTTGACTCAGAGGAATAGGTAGAATTTCAAACTTCTGGAGAAGGCGGCGCGGGAGCCAGGGCGGTACCCACAATCTCTGAAGTCACCACGGTCAGCCTGCCCAGCTGTGAGGGCTCTGGAGAGGTGTCCCGGAGACAAGGGAACCCCTGAAGCCCACTGTTGGGGTGACGAGTCTCTCAGGTCCCCTCTCCCCCACTCCTCCCTCCTTTTTCTCTTGTTCAGCAGCAGCCTTGAGGTGCTCACTGATCTCAGTGACCCAGGGGTGTAAGACCGGACTTCCTTCCCGATGGTGCCTGTGGGTGCAGCGGGGACTCCCACTCATCTCACGCCCCTTCCCATTTTACAGAGGGAAAATTGAGGCCAGAGGGAAGGACACTGGGAGAAGCCAGTAAAAAGTTGCGAAAACTCTAGGGTTCAGACTTCCTTCGTCCGCTCCTACCTCGCACCCCGGCTTTCCATTGGCGCTGCGCATACCCTACTCTTTCCCACTAGCAAAGACGGGCCCCCACGCGAGTCTCGCGGCGCATCTCCCCTTTAAGGGGCGGGCCTCGGGCCGCCGGCCGCGCTCCGCCCCCCCTCGCCGCACTGCGCCTGCGCCGCGTGCCGGCGCGCAGGGGTTGGGCAGCGCCCAGTTCCGTGCAACTTTTAAGTGAGTTGCAAACTCCGCCCCGCGGCCGGCGCCGGCACTGTGCGCTCGGACCGCGGCGACCCGCAAGAG